ATTGGGTTGTGGTGTACCGTTTGCAGCTACCTCCCACTTCCACTATACACCCAATGTTACATGTGTCCAGCTAAGGAAAGTTATTGGTGGCGACAGTCCATCAGTGATGTTGTTGATGACCTTGACAAAAGAAATGGAAGTGATCTTGGAGCCAAGGAAGGTGAAAGGAGTTTGCTAGACAGCAGGAGGAGCTAGAGAAGTGTTGATCGAATGGAAGGATCTGTCTGATTATGAAGTAATATGGAAATCTTACTGGATGATTTAGTAATAGTTTCTTTCATTCCACCTTGAGGACAAGGTTACTTTTTGGGATGGTAGGGGAGTATTGATAGACCGGCTGAGCCCATGGGCCCCACTAGTGTGGGCGGTCGGCATGGAGAGAGGGGATTCAAAGGTGATTAATTCTTTAATTACTTACTATATAAAATCAAAATTGGGATGGAATTATGAAGGTTTATTTAAAGAAAGAAGGCTGATTTGAATTCAAATTTGCGACGAAATTAGGGAGGTTTATTTAGAGAGAGAGGGTTGATTTGAATTTAAATTTGGGAGGGAATTAAGAAGGTTTATTTAAGGATAATTAGGTTATTTTATTTTGATTATGTGAATTGTATTTTGTTGTAGTTTTTTTGGGTTATTTCTAGCGACGCCTAGGATTTGTGGAGATTCGATTTACCTCTCCAATAGTAGATCATACCTTAGTTTGTTGTGCTGATATTTCATTCTTTCTTGCTGATTTCAGCTTTGTTTTCTCTTCGTTATTGTTATTTTTGCTGTGTGGAGATCGGATTCCTACCATAGCTCTAACTATCTATATGACTTTTGCTGGAATTGCTTTATTTCTTATGTGTTTTTTTTTACGACTGCTAGGGTTGGCGGTTACAAGCTCTTTAAGATTCCTTGCTTTATTGATTTCTTCAATAAGATTACAACATATTGACAATCCTCCATGTCATGGTTGCGATCTTTATGAAACACTCAATATTTTGATAGATATTAGTTATGAGTTAGTGCTTATGGTGGAGATGACCAACGAAAGTATGCTGTCTTTAATAATTTTTTTCTCTGTAGTTTTTTTCTGGTTGTTCCTAGGGGCGCTTAGGATTTATGTAAAATCAAACTACCTCTCCAATAGTAAATCTACTTGTACCTTAGTTTGTTGTGCCGATATTTCATTTTTTCTTGCTGATTTTAGCTGCGTTTTCTTTTCGTTATTGCTATTTTTGCTGTGTTGAGATCAGATTCATACCATAGCTCTAACTATCTGTATGACATTTGTTGTAATTGCTTTATTTCTTATGTGTTTTTTTTATGACTGCTAGGGTTGGCGGTTACAAACTCTTTAAGATTCCTTGCTTTAATGATTTCTTCAAGAAGATTATAGCATATTGACAATCCTCCATGTCATGGTTGTGATCTTTATGAAACACTCAATATTTTGATAGATATTAGTTATGAGTCGGTGCTTATGGTGGAGATGACCAATGAGAGTATGCTGTCTTTAATATTTTTTTTTTTGTAGTTTTTTTTGGTTTTTTCCTAGAGGCGCCTAGGATTTGTGTAAAATCGATCTACCTCTTCAATAGTAGATCAACTTGTACCTTAGTTTGTTGTGCCGATATTTCATTCTTTCTTGCTGATTTCAGCTGCATTTTCTCTTCATTATTGCTGTTTTTGCTGTGTGGAGATCGGATTCATACCATAGCTCTAACTATCTATATGACTTTTGCTGGAATTTCTTTATTTCTTATGTGTTTTTCGGATGATTGCTAGGGTTGGCGGTTACAAACTCTTTGAGATTCCTTTCTTTAATGATTTCTTCAAGAAGATTATAGCATATTGACAATCCTCCATGTCATGGTTGTGATCTTTATGAAACAGTCAATATTTTGATAGATATTAGTTATGAGTCAGTGTGTATGGTGGAGACGACCAACAAAAGTATGCTTTCTTTAATATATATATATATATATATATATTGTGGTGAGCGATGATAAATCACAAAGTATGTGGCTCAAATTCATGACCTTAGAAAGCAATCTTCTCATCTTTGGCTTTAATTGCATTCATTAGTTTACTTTTGCTTTTGCATAAGACACCCATTAATGAGTATATGTAGGATTCATGTTTATTATTGGTGACATCTCTAATTGAAGGTTGATAGTATTGGGGTGGGGGGTGGGCGCTTTTATGTTTATTTCATAATATTTATGATGCACCAATTAATGCGATGTGTTCTTTATCTGCAAAGTTAAAGTCATCACAGTGTGTGTTCAATGTTGTTGATGGGATCATCTTAGGTCTCAGTCAACTTCCAGATATAGAGTGCTTAAAGTAAAAGTTTTAATTTTATTGTACTCTTTCACATTAATGTGACTATTGGTGAGCTCTAATAATGCAGCTAAAGATTTTTGGTTGCTGTAAGTCAAGTTCATATTTAAAATTACATTTCTATAAACCCTGGGTGAGTGTAGCACGGGCGACCACATATTCTAAATTCTTGACATTCCACATCTCTTAATTGAAAACAAATAATAAATTGTAGATGAGATTTGCCAGATTTTTGCTTTATATTCAAGAATGCTCATGAGCTTGTTAACAGCATATGCATGCTTAAAAATTATGTGACAAAAAAGTTTCTTGGATTTAAAAAAAATATTCATGCTTCTAGGAGAAAGTCTTATGAGTTATCATAATGGTGTTTCCTTAAATGCTATAAATAGTTGTCGGCACTTAAAAACATCATTAATAGTGAGAAGTTGTTGACTTGAACCAGGCAACGTGATTAGCTGCATGTGACTTTCTTTGATTAAGTTCAAGAATTGTCATTTTGAGCTTTAATGGAGATTAAAGTTCTAATTTAAATAGAAAAGATGGTGGTTGGCGTAGTGAATGGTTTCTTGAGTATGTGGGGTTGAGGAGGTTCTACTTCATTTCTCTTCAAAGAGATGGTCCTTCAGTGGGAATTGATGAAGGAATATATAATTGAGTGTTCTTGGAGATGATGAATTGAAGAAACTTCTTGTTGTATTTGTTTTGAGATTCCTTGGATTTTTTTTTTGTTAGATGATCTTCCATATGATTTAATTGTTCTGAAGTGAAAAAATTTTGTTGCTCTTGCACAGATATTTTCCTTTAGTCTGAATGATTTACTATGACTTATACTAGGCATCATCCATGCTAATCAAACCGTAGAGGATGTTTGATTTTAATTAATTGTGGTTGATATCATAATCTTACTAATAAGAATGGGTAAGTAATAAGCGAAAAGGAGAGAGAAAAGTTAGGGAATTTGACTATATCTCTATTAGAAAGAAAGAACAAATGTATTTGAGTTAAAACATGATGTGCCCAAAGGGGTAAGACCGATTATGTGGTAGGTTTGAGGTTTAACGCTACAGGAAAAGATACATTTAAGTGATATAATTAAAATTATAGAGATAATTCTCGATCCTTGCTTAAAAGGTTGTTTGTGGTGTGCCTCTCCATGAGGTGCTCACTAAGTGCCTCAAAGCTTATAATTTTTTGGCTTGAGGGAGCCTTGATACTATATGCCTCAAGGTGTATGAGATCAAATCCTCATATCAATGCTTATTTTAAAAAAAATACTTTTAAGTTAAACATAAGAGGTTTAAATTTTTAAGATTAGAGTTTAGATCGATTTTGAGATAGAGGGTTGTGTTTTGTTTTCTTTTAAGTTTATGTGGACTTTAAGTTAAATGGTTTTAATATTTTAATTATTTTTTATTTTTAAATAATTTTTTCATTTTTAGTAGTTTTTAAATTTTCTTTTAAATGATTTTATTTATTTTTATTGTCCTTATTTTTAGTTTTCTTCTCAATGTTTTTTCATTTTCAAATTGTTGTTTATTATCTTTTTAAATTAATTCTTCTTTCCCTTTTGTTTTAATTGATTTGTGTTTGTTTTTCTTTTGTGTTTAGGTTATTAATTTTCTTGTTAACTTGTTGCTGATGCTTTTTAACTTTAATTTTATAATTTTTTTAATCTTTAACTTGAAGCTTATGTCTCAGTCTACCTTGAAGCTTTTCTATCGTCTTGGTAAGGTGAAACGGCTCAATTCTTAATTTTGCCTTTTTAAAGCTTGATTTGGATGAGCTGTAATTGAGCTTTGAGAAGGAAGATTTCTATGAGCAATGAGCTACTGGAGCTTTGGCTGACTTAGTAGGTCGGATGCTACTTATCCGAATTAAAGGTTGAGTTATGAGATGACTTGATGAACGGCTTATTAGGCTACTGTATTTTGATTGAAGACTTGCTGAATGAACCTAAGTTAGATGAATATGGTTGTACTTGATTTTTTCTTTAATCATACATAATTTTCTCTCTTAGGCCTAATTTCATTTCTCCTTTTCATTTACTAATTTTCATCTCTTGTGACTCTGTTGGGACTCAAATGTTGCTGAGAGTAAAGTCCTTAAATGAGCAATTTATTTTTATTTATAAAATCAATGTTACTTTTTCTTTATTGTTTTTTGTTCATCTGAATTTTTTTTTATACACACGTCTAGATTACAAATATATGCAGAATGTTTTTCATATTAAGCACATTTTTTTTTGTTTTTAGACTCAAAACGTATAATATTAAACCCATGGAAATTGGAGGAATGGTTTTTATTTTAGAGCATGATGACTTGATTTTAATTTTCTTTTCCTAGTACCGACTATAATGATGTGATTCTTAAAATTCATAAACTCGAACTAACGACGTACTGGCAATGTTTTGCTATAAATGAATCCAAAAGTGGTTGGCCGTTTAAGCAGGCTTGTTGTCTTTTAAAGGTTGCTTATCTATCATTTGGCAATACAGGTATTATTGTACCTTTCTAGCCATCATAATTATGCATTTTTGTGCCCTTGCTTCTTTTTGATTAATTGTGCGCCTTAATAAGAAATTTCTACATTTTTACTGTGATATTTCGTGCGATTAAATGGCAAAATGGAATGATCCACCATATTAATGTTTATTTTACACATTCAGGAACGGAGACTCCTATGCTGGAGAATATTTTGCTGACAAGATGCATGGATTTGGGGTGTATCGCTTTGCAAATGGACATCGATATGAAGGTGCATGGCATGAAGGCCGAAGGCAGGGCTTGGGCATGTATTTATTCAGGAATGGTGAAGCTCAGGCAGGCTACTGGCAAAATGGTACTCTTGACGCCCTGATTACCCAAAACTCGCTGCCTGGTTCCCCTGTTGCAGTTAACCATTCCAAAGTTCTTAATGCTGTTCAGGTGCCCATCGCTTTTCTTGCACCAGAGGATAGACAAGCTCTGCTTTTTCTTTTTTCTTCATAATGAAAACCCAGCATTAGTTGCCTGAACTAAAGCATCACTATGTAATTGAATAAATTAAAAAAAAAATCAAACTCCAATGATGGTTTTTTAATAATTGACATTTTGTCCTCAGGAAGCTCGAAGAGCAGCAGAGAGAGCATTTGATCTCCCCAGATTTGATGATAGGGCCCAGAAGACAGTTGCAGCTGCAAACAAAGCAGCTAATGCAGCTAGAGTCGCAGCTGTAAAAGCTGTTCAGAAGCCAAGCCCCAGTAATGGAGGTGAAGTTCCACTCCCACTTATTTGAATCTTCCTTAGTGTGGTTATTTTTGTCGTTTCTTTTACAACTGAGCAATAAAGCATTCTGCCTGAAGCCAGTTTGCAGCGCATCAGATTTTCTATTTCGTTTCATTTGTACTGCCAAACTAAGTTTGACAGACTGATGATGACGATTGAGGGGGTGCATCGCCTGTTCTGTTGTTCTTTTTCCTATTGTATAATCTGTAAATAAATATAGTGCATTCAAGAGAATCAGGTTTCCTTTCCTTTAGGTTATGTAGAACTCGAAGAATTTTACACGTAATAAATTAGATGCTACGGTTTATGGCCGGTGCCTAGCTGTGTACTACTATTGCGCATTTATTTTGACTGTACTGCAAACTGAATGCGTTAAAATTCCAAGCAAGAAATTGGTTGGCTTCACCATGAAGTTACAGTTGTCCTCTAAGATTATATAAGTAAATGCATTGTGTTTGAATTGACTACATATATTTTACCCTCAATAGAAAGTCCTTTTGTTGAGTAATTTTTCTTTAATTAGAATATTTTTTTTTTTATTTATTAGAATATAATTCTAGGTGTGATGAATTTTTCATACCTAACCTTTCTGACCTTTCTATTCTAAACAAGTAGTCTATTACTGATTTCCTTGACAAGGTTGAAATTTTCTACAATGACAAAGTCGTTGTTTTAAAGAAGGAACAAAAGGCTTTTGTGACTCAAAGAATTGAGCTCAGACAGAACATGCACTTAAACTTGTTTATTAACTTGATCACTGCAATCGATATGGTACAAATAACATTTCTCTAAGAGAAACATATCCATTGAAAAGATGAATATGGCAAATTCGTTAGGTTTTTTTTAGCACAATAATCCAGAATATAAGCTTCCCGAATAGTTTATCTGCTTGAGTGGAAAGAGAATGATCAAGTTAGTTTTCTCCCACTACGTGAAAAGCGCCAAGGCAGTTTCTTTTGCCCGAGTCTCATTATAAATAAACTATTGCCATATATTTTAGGGGTTAACCTTCAGGGAAAGAGAGGGTTTGAACTTGGGATCTTAGAATGGAAAGGATGATCCCAACAGATCATGATCTCAGATCATTATGTGCCAATTTATGTGTCAAGGATTATTTGTTTGATTCAAAAGAGCGTGTTTGTCCAACTGTTGATAGTCTTCCCGTCATTTGAATAAAAGGCCATAAAGGATTCGATCTCGAGTAATTCAAAATCAACTCAATATAAAACACTGCCATTACTAAGTCTCAAGTGCTGGATGAGAAAAATGGAGGGTTGCGTTAGGTAGTCGAGAACCATCGTAAAACTTGTTGAAGAATCATGATTTAAATCATTTAATAAATTGTGTTAATGCTAGAGTGTTCCCGAGAAGTGTCGTGCTGTGTGGCTTGAATATATAATAAGTGGGCAAGGGCCGCTGTGCCGACGCTCAGGTGCAATATTAAATAGGCAAGGGTTCCCACAGCATGGATGGATGTGGGCAAAGAAGGTAGTCAATGAAACTAAGAATAGGAACTTTGAATATAAGTTCCCTTACAGGCAAATTAATGATATTATGATTTACAAGAAGATAAATATTCTATACATTCAAAAATTAAATAGGTTGGAGAGAACGCTAAATAGATTGATAGTTTAGGTTTTAAACTATGTTATTCTGGTAAGAGTTGTACTAGAAGTTGTGTAGGTGTGATTATATATAAGAGTTTAAAAGATAATGTTATAAAAATTAATAGAATTAGAGATAGAATTATAGCTTTAAAAATTATTATTGGTGCTAAGATTATGAATATTAATAAGTTTTTATGCTCTTTAAGTAGGTTTGGATATGAGTTCAAAATTAAAATTTTAGAATGACTTAGAATTAATATAAAAGATACCTCTTGAAGAAAAAAAATTCATTAGAGAAGATTTAAATGGACATGTTGGTAGAGAAGTAGATGATTTTAAAAACATTTATGGTGGGTATAGATGTGAAGCGACTAATGAAGGTGGTAGACCACATTAAATTTTATTTTAGCTTATGATTTTATAATTGCTATTATCTTATTTAAGAAAAGAGATGAGCATCTCATCCCTTATAAGAATTGATATAGTAAAACTCAGATTGATTATTTTTTTTTAAAAAAAATAGATCGTTTAGATCACAATGATTGTAAAGTTATTCCGATTGAAAGTTTATGCATCCGACATTGCTTATTAATTTTTGACTTTAAGATGAAGGGGTAGAATAAAAAATAAAGTAAAATATTATTCTAGGATTAGATAGACTTTAATGAATATTAACAAAAATATTTTTTAGAGTAAGATGCTAGATCTTAAGATTTTGTTTGTGCATGAGGAAGTTAATGCTATTTGAGAAAAATAGTTAGTGCTAATATTGCAAAAGATGTGCTTGAAGTATCAAAAAGAAAAACTCATAATAGTAAAAATAGTTGGTGGTGAAATTTAAATGTGCAAGAAAAGATAAAAAATAAGAATATTTGTTATAAAAATTAATTTAGATGTAAAAATTCTGATAATTGAAAATAAATATAAAGATGCTCGTAAGGAGTCTAATAAACCAATATGCAATGAAAAAAATTTAGCTTTTAATGATTATATAATATATTAGATATTAAGGAGTGCGAAAGATATATGTATAAGTTAGCCAAATAAAGAGATAAGAGTAATAATGATTTAGTTCAAGTAAAGTTTATGAAAGATGAAATCAAAATGTTCTTTTATTAGAAGAGGATATTTAACAAATGTGGATGTGATATTTTTTTGAACTTTTTAATGAAGATTATTAGAATGCAATTGACTTTAGTGACTTTAACACTCTAAATAAAAATTAAGATTTTTTATTTTTATCTGGGCATTAATAAAATTGAAGTTAATGAGACTTTAAGAAAAATGAAGTGTGGAAAAGCTGTTGGACCTGATGATATTCCAATAAAGGTGTGAAAATGCTTAAGAGATGAAGGAATTTTTTGCTTATTGAGCCTTTTAATATTATTTTTAATTGCATAGTCATCAAAGCAATGTCGTCCTCATCCTCAGATTGTGACTGGTCACTCTCTGATTCCTCCACTTTTAATGCTATGTTCTTCTCTTTACGTTGTTCTCCTGCATCAATTTTTTTTTTGACTCACTTCTTGCTTGTAAGCAATTAGTGATCCAAGAAGATTATCAACAGAGTAAACATTTAAATCTTTAGACTCTGTAATCGCAGTTATTTTAGCATCATAAGCAGTAGGCAAACAACGAAGTATTTATTCACTAATTCAGCATTCGTTAATTCCCTATCTAATGCATGCAAATAAGTGACTATCTGAGTGAATCTTGTATACATTTTAGAAATGGATTCATTTGGTTTCATGCGAAACAGTTCATAGTCATGTAATAAGATGCTTAGTCTAGATTGCTTTACTTCATTGATCCCTTCATAAGTAATACAAAATCTATCACATATGTCATTTCCACTTTTGCAAGTGGAAACCCGCATATAATCTTCTAACTTAAGTGCATAAAAGAAATTGTTTAGGCATTTAGCATTTAACTGTGCTAAGTCACGTTGTTCTACAGTCCAGTCAGCAAAGGGTGTTTCAACTCTAACACCATTAACCAATCTAGTTGGTTTTGTATACCCTTATTGAACTAAAATCCAAATACGAAAATCTAGTGACTGTAAAAATGTAGACATGCGTGCTTTCCAAAAATTGAAAGGGATATCCTCAAATAACAGAGGTCTAGTGATCGAGTACCCTTCGGGTGTGTTTCGATTTCCAAAAATACTCGTTTTTCAAAAAGTAGTTTAAACAAAGCTCTAATACCACTTGAATCTTGATTAGGTTGTTAAACTAAGCTAATGTCTCAAGGCTAACCAAGAGGGAGTGAATTAATAATTTTAAAAAATTAATCTTGGATTTAAAAAATTGAAAACCTTTAAAGATTCGTAGCAATTTAATTGATAATATTTGAAAACAAAATTTTTAACCATAGAATAAAAATTTGCCGTAAATAAAATGCCGAAATTTAAATGATACAGATTTATAGTGGTTCGGTCAAACACGACCTACATTCACTTCCTGAACTCCCTTTTCATGTATTGCATTATTACCAAAAGTTTCTCTCCTTTTGCCCCCACAGCAAGGCTGAGAAGCCTTTACAAAACTCTCTTCCACCAATCCCCGGTGCGGTAGAGAACCGTCGTCCTTTCACACTCTCCAAGTGTAGGCAGAAAACCATCATCCTTTCACACTCTCCAAGTGTCAGCAGAGAATCGTCGGCTGTTCACACTTTGCAAGTGTCGACAAAGAACCGTCGTCCTTTCACACCCTCCAAGTTTCGATAGAGAATCAGATATTCTTCAAAGATCTTCTCACGAGCAATCTAGAAAGACAAGAGTAAGAGTACAAAACACAAATCACACAGAGATCCTTACCTTTGAGTAATCTTGTGAATTCTTCACACTCCACTAGCAAGAAATCTCTCTCTCAAGCACTCTCTATTTCAATTGCCCTTGAAAAATCTTGAAGATAAGACTTTTTACATCAGTTTTTAGTGGATCTTTTATATAAAAGACACGAAAAATCGTCCAGAAAATTGAATTTTATAATTTTGAGCATACACGATCCTACAACTTGATTGGATTTCGTACGTACGAACAGGTTAAATTTTGTTGCGTACGAACCTGTTGTGAATCGGTACGAAATCATTTCGTACCAGATCATCGTCCTGTACGAACAGTTAGAAAATTTTCAAAATTCGTTTGTACGAAAAAGAACCCCAATATTTCGTACTATGGATGGTGTACGTACGATGACGTCATCGTCCGTTATGATCAGTTATAAAAAATTTTTCAAATTCGTCTGAACGAAACATCGGGACGAAATGGGACCTCACAATTTCTCACACTGGAAGGCATGTACGAACTGGGTTCATACAGTACGATCCATACTTACAAAAAAATATTTTTGAGCGAGAACAGACCCGTCAATTTCATACTCGTGAACGCATGTACGAACTATGATTGTTCCGTACGATCCATACTTAGAAAAAATTATTTTTGAACGAACAAGGACCTGCCCATAATGTACTCTAGAGGCATGTACGAACTAGGTTCATACAGTACGATCCATACTTAGAAAATTTTCATTTCTATTCATTTGACTGCTCGTCAGAAAAAATTTAATTGACCAGATTGTCTCGTATGAACGGATATCGTATAGTACGATCAATTTAAAAAAATGCGAATTTTAAAGTCTCCCCCGGTGTGTGTGTGTGCTCAGTTACTTACTTACAATTACACTCTCTCAGACTCAATAAAATGGAAAATACAGACTTCAATTACAATAAACTCTAAATTGATCTTGATTTGAAGTCTTCAATAATCTGGAGTATGATTTTCCTGAAATGTTAGTACTCACAAGAT